ATCTTCGATGGCGCTGGCGCCCAATCGTGGCCCCTGTCGTACATCTCCTTCTTTTCCATGCAGCGGAATATTACTGTATTCGACTGCACCACCATCCAGGAGCTCCTCTACTTTGTTTCCTGGGTCTACACCAACGACGCGTACGTCACACGACACACGTGAGCGGCACCACTCAGACGGCGATGATTGGCGCTTACTGTGATTGAATGTTTCCACTGCCGCGTGCAGTGCTTCGCAGCTTGCCCTCGATGTCGATTACGCTCCACTGCCGTCATTTGTGCGGACTCGGTTGATCGATTGGCTGGGCGTGGTCCAGTGCAACGGCCAGCGGGCGCACTCGGCGCAGTACCTGGTCGGCACGGGCGCTCCGCTGTCGATTCACACGGCGTGGTCGGTGGCCTACAGCTCGGCTGCGGTGCGGGTCAAATACTTCGCCGCCACGGCGATGCAGGTGAAGGAGAGCATGCCCGACTTCATCGGCACGAACTACGCGACCACCCTCAACTTGTCGCTCGCCATACCCGACATTGCGAGCATGCCGGCCACCGCCGTCGCGCTCGCACCCGGTAAGTCAAACATGTCATGTGTGTCGTATCGTGTTGTGTGTCATGTCGTGTGTTGCGCAAACATGACTTACGTTGTCTGTCCACTGCAGGTTACAACATTCCCGAGCTGCAGGACGGCCCGCCACTGCTCCTCGACTACGCAACGATCGCGGGCATCCTGCTCCGCAACATCACGATGTGGAACGACCAACGCATCAAGGACGTCAACCCGCAGGCCGTCGCCGACGCCCTGCCGGCGCAGCCCATCATCATGATCGCACAGGCCAGAAATTCGTCGGGACCGCCGTTCGGCCCCATTCAGACCGTATCCACGGTGCTGAAGCGAATGGTCCCCGACTACCGCGACGTACGTTCTCCGCTCTTCGCTCTTCGCAGAAGGCGTGTGCTCGGCAATGTGAATCTCGACCTCACCGCCCCTATGTGCTTGCAGGTGAACATCAGCCAATTACTGCCGGCGGAGTCGGACCCCGACCACTCGATTGTCGTTGCCGGTTCTGCGTCAGCGCTGTCGGTGCTGCTCGCCACCCATTATTCGTTCGCCTTCATGCCGTCGTACGAGTTGCTCTCGGTACGCGCCACCACCCACCACTGCGCGACTCTTCTCTCTTTTCTTTTTACGGTCGTTGGCTCACATTCACGACAGACGCGCGGATTGAGAGCGGCGTCGATTCGTAAGGCGTCG